AGTCAACTACTTGAGGGTGAAACCAATAAGCAGTCAGTGAATGTTAACTAACAGATTGATGTTTTTATGTGGGTTGTGTAGATTAATAACTAAACAATTATGGTTGTGCTTTTTTGTTTTGTTTAAAAATATTTGAGATAAATACTGTTTATAAAAAAATTATTGTCAATACTCTGAGATCTATCCACTATAGCGATTGATAATTATACCTGTCCTTAATAACACTTCATCAATTATGAACCTGTTAGTACAACAATGATATAAAACCTCTTTTTATGATAAAACATTTGCCTTATGTATAATTCTGTCGATTGAATGTTATATTCTACAAAGAACTGTCTCTTCGATTAATAATTAAGAGATAACTACACAGTCCTCATATATGTAACATGTTTCACCTCACTGTTATTACTTTTAGTTATTTTCTAATAACCAACTTTATTTTAACCTTATCAATATCCATCGAGTTTGTGATATTTATTCAGTTAAACAATCGTTGATTAAACATTTAAAGAAATAAAACCACGAGATTACTATTATACAAATAGTATGTTCATATTAATCTGCGCTAAGTAGAAAGTACATAAATAGAAAACAGAAATCTATTTTGATAAACTCTTCTAATGTTAGTCACATTCTAAAATCCATACAACTAGGTGAAAAGTTTCATCTTGATGAATTTAGTTTATTTCACATATTAACCTTTAGTAATAACATATGATTAACAGAACTATGTTATAAATGCACAAACCATGCGGTAGTCATTTAACAAAATAAAGGGAATTGTTTTTTTTAAATATCCGATAACACAATGAAAAAGGAATTTTTGGTAAACTGTGGCTTGCACTGTAGGCATGATATCAACATGTTTAAAAAATAACAGAAAACATTGATTATTATAATAGTTTAGCTCCATTTCTCTGCGACTTCCACTAACGTAGGTTCATAACTGTTAATCAGGAATACATATACAGTTTTAACATCAGATGGGTTTTGTGGATATTATAGTAATTTCAATGGTTAAGATCATGAGTCAGTTGAAGCTAGACCACCATGAAAAACCTGGAAGCACTGGACGGCCGATTCGTCCTATTGTGGGACTCCTGAGCAGTGCGCATCCACAACCTCGCCCCCTACGAGATTCGAACCCAGGACCTACTAGTCTGGCGCGCTAGCACTTAACCACTAGACCACTGAGCCGGCATCCAACGATGTTAATGTCTAACTTCAACTAATCCACGAAAATGTGCGACACGTCCACTATTGTCTTCAGTGACTTACTATCTCACAACAGACTAAGTTGAACTCCACTGGTCACTACTTCTCACTAGAGTTCCAGGATATACCTCGTGAAGCCAGTCACTAGTGAGCATATGTTGATTAATATCAGGTGGGTTTTGTGGATGTGTCGCTCAATTTCGTGGATTAGTTGAAGTTAGACATTAACATCGTTGGATGCCGGCTCAGTGGTCTAGTGGTTAAGTGCTAGCGCGCCAGACTAGTAGGTCCTGGGTTCGAATCTCGTAGGGGGCGAGGTTGTGGATGCGCACTGCTCAGGAGTCCCACAATAGGACGAATCGGCCGTCCAGTGCTTCCAGGTTTTTCATGGTGGTCTAGCTTCAACTGACTCATGATCTTAACCATTGAAATATACAGTTTTATTGAAAACCTGTAACATATGATATAAACTATATCATAAAACTGCACAATACACTGCAAATTTAATTAGAAATCACTATGGTATTTTCCGTATTTTCGTCATTAAACAAATCCAACTTTAACAACAGAGCATACATACTTTATATAAAAAGTATTTCTGTAAATTTACTGAGCATTATGAGGATTGTAAAACAATGGCAATGATAAGACATTAAAATTAACGTACGACAGTGAAGTATATTTTAAACTCATCAAATGACCGATCTGCTGGAGAGGCATAAAATTAACACAAAATACATGATATGCTTGCTGAGGTTAATGTTGAGAATGATGGTAAATTTATCACTTAGATATTGGCTAAAAAACATGGTCAAGATAATCGTTATAAAGTACTATAGTATGTAACCATAGTTGGGCTTTTTACGAACATCGTTGCTTTAGCTATTAAAGTTATTAAATTTGGTCATTAAACTTGCAGCTAATAAGTAAAGATATGTGGTATTAAGTACTATTGTAGGAATCTATAGTACAAAGACCTGTTCCTTAGTTTAAAAGTCGTACCTGTAGTATGTATGTAAACATTTATGCAAGGTACCCTTCAACAGACAGCCGTTTGCTGCTGTCATTTGATATGACTGCCAACACTTCTAAGGTGAAAGTAATCTATGGTTTCATTGACAAAAGAATTGAAGAACGATAATAGGATGAAATCACATGTGAGAAGGATAATTGTCCATTTGACAAGTATAAGAACGGTAAAGATGAAATCAAGTAATAATTAAATTTAAAGTTAAGACATTAGAAGAATGTATTAAAAAATCAAATCACCGTTTGTTAAAATGAAGTGTCAGAGGCATGGAATGTTGCACATCTACGAACATTATAACGCCTAGCTTTCAAAAGGTGAATATAAATCACTCAGCAGTTCAAATTTGGAACGTCTTGTGAACTTTGGTTTCGTGCACCACCTGATAAGTCTTTTTAGATTATCGGGTATGAAGGTAGAGCAACTTAACAACTTGTGCGCTGCAGAGGTACTAGCAATCCATCCTTTCAAACTTGAACTCAGTGTGCAAAAGAGACCATTGCAGCACATCATTCTTCCATGGCCCTAACACTTAATTTTAATAAACGGTAATTTGATTCTTATAATGCTTTAATCGTTTTAACTTTGATTTTACTTGTTATTTGTTATCATCTTCACCCTTCTCATACTTCTGAAGTAGACAAATATCCTTCTCGCATGTGATTTCATCTTATTATCTCTCTTTATTTCTCAACTATCAAGTTACTTCCTTTGCCACACGATATGATGTAATCGTTATCCCAATTTTTTTAAATAAACTATTTTTTTGTAAATTAACTATAAATGCGATTGTACATCATGAATAAATGATATTGTCGAAAAGAAAACTTCATCACTGTACTGTCTTAATACTTTTGAGATGATTGGTGAGATATCAGACTGTAAACAACATTATTATAGACAAGTAAATATCTAACTGACTGTATAATAACCGTGTGGATATTTTCAAGGAAAACAAATAACCAAATAACTTTACTTGATATCATTGGATGCAAGTTGAAACAACCAGATATTACAAAACATCTCTAGCTAAAGCAATGTTCTTTATTCATCGCCATATAAACAATGCAGAATCGTTAAAAAAGGATCAATTATTTTTTCAACTGTACCCATGGTTGGTCAACTTTTTCATGTATTTCCAGCATTATATCAGATAATCCAACTCAATAAATATCAAGTAAGTGTAGTAAATGTACATTTCTCAATGATGGTTGCAATCTTAACATAATCGTCCTTAGAAGCTATGAACTTGTACAGTAATTACATGAGCAAAATATTTTAAATCTCACTTTATGTACCAATTTATTTCTCAATCCGCTCTTTTAAAAAATAAAATCCTCTAGTTATCATTCAATTCATCAATCAACACAATCAATTAGATCTGGAACAACATTAATGATGAAACAGCAGGATAATCACTGCCAATCAGTGATCATCTGGTGAGAATACTTCAGTTTTATTATGAATTAATCATATCTTGAAGACCTCAATGTTAGCGGTCTTTAATGAGACACTGAACGATACTATTTTCTAAATTATTAAGAAGCATCAGGATTTTAAAACTTCAGCTACGCCTGGTTGATTGCTGTCAACTAGCATTGAATATAGGTTCATAACGTTTTACTTCGTTCCAACTACAATACAGTATCTAACATGGTGTAGTGCAATTTCATGTCAGATTGACTATTAACAACAATGTAAAACGACTAGTTAAATTTAGTCTGCACTAAAGATCACATAATATAATATTGATTATTATTCAGTCATCCAGCGTACTTTATAAAGATTTCTGTGACAGTGAGATTTCGGTATACAGAGATTTTGAAATATACTCCTAATCAAGACATATATTATTTGGATAGTTTAACTAATTGAATCCCATCATTTAAATTTGACTTTAATTGTTTTTTTTATCAAAGAATAGTATTAATTTCAATATTTTATACAAATAGATTTCAGTAAATTTGTAACACCTAATCCTATAAAATCCATAATAACATGAATATATTATCGATGAATGTGTATATTTCTCGTAAAAGAATTTATTATTAAATATAGGAATTTTCAATGGAAATAATGTGTTTGTTGTGAGTAAACAAATCCATCTATATTCACTTGTTGTTCTTTACATGTATCTTCCTTTTTGTTATTTAGGACTGTAATTGATCAGTCTCTTATTGGCATATGTGCATACTGTGCATATGGCATCAAAACTGCCTCAATTCACAAGTATTCTAAACAAGGATGGATAGTGGCTAGCAGTGGAATCCAGGATGTGTGTTTCGTTCAGCTGATGAGTCCCAAACAAGACGAAACGCGCGTGCTGGATTCCACTGCTAGCCATTATCTATCTTTGCTTGTATATGCATAAATATTTTTAACTATTACAAACAAATTACTTTAGTTTGCCTAATTAGCACATCTTTTATGAAAATATAAGAATATATCAGACTAGTTATTGTAAACATACGAAAAGTACTCAATTATTTTATCTCGAATTTACAAGAATTACTGTTTTTAAAATTTTATTATTGGTAATAACACCAAGTTTTGAAATTAATAGTTTGATTGGTCACGTAAATTGAATTTGATTGGCTAGGAAAGTAGAAAAGATTATACTATTGGAAGGTGAACAGTTAATTATTTAAGACATAAGAATAAGCAATAATCTATAATATTTAATAGAATACGTTTATTTATTTATTTGTTAACATTTAGAGCATGATCAAATAACTTACACTTCGTTTAATGGGAAATGAACACTGAGAACTACCTAACTGTGGATATATCTCAAAATAACACTAATAATAATATAAGTGAACAATTACTTTCAAATAGTAGTTCTATAGTGGAAACTATAACATTTCTGGGATTTATTGTAATTATAGCCATTACTATTGGTGGTAATTTACTTGTTCTTGTTGCAATCTGTACAAAACATAAATTGCGAAGAAATGTTACAAATTGTTTCATAGCATCCTTAGCAGCAGCAGATTTACTATTGGGAGCTATTGTTATGCCATTCGCTGTAATTGATCTATTAAGATCTATCCATAAAGACTGTCTTCCCAAAAATCAGCAAGATCAGTATGTTTTATGGCCATTTGGTCAAATCTGGTGTGATATGTGGCACGCATTTGATGTTCTTAGTTCAACAGCTTCAATTTTAAATTTATGTGCAATTTCAGTGGAACGTTATATTGCTATTTCAGACCCATTTAATTATCCTTTACGTGTAACACATTCACGATGTATTATTATGATTATGCTTACTTGGGTATGCTCTATACTAATTTCCTTTCCAGCCATTGCCTGGTGGCGACATTCAAGTAGTATGTATAATGTTTCTGATATGCATAGTGTACCAGATTTAGAATGTTTATTTTCTTCTGACAGAGTTTATTTATTCATTTCTTCGTGTATTTCATTTCATATACCCTTGATAGTTATGATTTTTGTTTATTGGAAAATATATCAGAAAGCAAATGGTCTCATTAAGACCTTTAACACAGGTAAAAGATTGATTTATCGAAAATCACTAGGTGGTGAGGCGATGATATTAAGAGTGCACAGAGGCGGTATAACTAAAACACTGCCGTCAGTCTTGCAACAGGGTGTATTGCCCCATAATCCTAATACTTCTATCAAAGTATCGTATGTATCTTCTCATGAAATCCTCAACAATCAATCGCCTATATTGTCGCCAACAGCAAATGATGATAATAAAAATAATCATGAAATATTAGAGTGTAATGTAGATGAAAACAAAAAAAAAGAAAAACATGTTAAATTTAATCACTCTAGAAAATCTCAATCAATTGAGGAAAAAAACACTCACTGCACATTATTCTCTGGTTGCTACAGAACTATATTCAGTCGATTTAATGTAAACAATTCATTAATACAAAAGGATGAAAATATAACAGCAACACCTGGGACGCAGCATGCAGAAGAAAGTTTGCTATCATCAAGAAGCTATCTAAGTGAAATCAAAAAACGAGTACAACGATTCACTAAAGAACGGAAAGCAGCTAAAACTCTTGGAATTGTGATGGGTGTATTTGTGTTATGCTGGTTACCATTTTTTGTTTATAACACAATAAAAGCTGTTTACCCATCAGTTTTAAAAACTCAAGAGAATATAATTTTTCCACTTGTCACATGGCTTGGCTATTTGAATTCAGGTGTCAATCCGTTTATCTATGCATATTCTTTACGGGATATTCGTAAAGCATTTCTTGATATTCTGTGCACACCATGTAAAACACATTCTAATTGGTGTCGCACAAGGCTAAACCAAACTAGAGATACTTATGTGTCACAGTATACCGATGAACCAACAGATGCTTTAAAATCTATTAATTGTCAGTCTACAATGTCGCTTGCTAATGGTTCATCATTATACACAGACCACAAGTATTCCATGGAATCGACATCTTCACCGTAGCAAAAGAATTTTTTTTAAAAATGTATTCAGATGAAAATAATCTACAAAATGAATTTTATCATGACAGTAAACACGATAATACAGAAATTTACAGAATTTGTGGAATTTACTATACAATCTGACAGTCTACCTTTGAGTTTATCAGGAAAAGGAAATTTTATTTAAAACATTTCAGAACCCAAATGGTAACTAACATCATTTATTAGCCAATGTATGAAAAACTATTCATAATTTCAATACTAAAATAGTCCATATTTTATCAACAATATTATTTCTATTTCCTAACATTGTCACTAGAATCCAATACCCTATAAATCATCTGTTTAAGACAAATGTTTGTACACTGTACTCTATTATGTAAAAAAGTAGGTTTATCTTCGATCCTGTCTATCTATCTAAATCTGTAAAACCACTCAAATAATAAAGTGATAAGTAAACATGTTCATGATGGTACTGTAAGTAACTATATTCATCAAGTTTATTTGGTAGATTGGTAATAAATATTCTTAAAGAAACTCTAAAAACAGTTGGCTCTAACATTTCTAATGACAAAATATCATACGGCTTTGAAAAAAGTCAAATTAATATCCACTAAGAATTTATTTCTTTGATAAATTATAAGTTCATAAAGAGAAAAACTTCTATGCAAATAAGTTACACTCCGTATATTATACTGTGAATTTGACATTCATGGTATTATGCAATGAATAATGTTGAGTACATATTCTAACTCTTTGTAGGTAAGTGCTATTATAGTAAACTGATAGTTTCAGACAGTAATCATACATCGATGTTGTAGTAAATAAATCGCACGTTCCAAACAATAAATGGAATAACGTAGTATTGAGCACAAATCTTGAAACGTATACTACAAAAACTGGTTGATATTTCAATAAATCAACATTAAACAGATTACTATTCACTCATGTAATTTGAAATAACTGTTAGTACCCCTAAAATGACTCGTGTAAAGCGATATTATCAAAAATGTATATTTATAGCTAAATGAACAACTCTTTAAAAGTTAAGATTCCGAAGTAAACACGAAACGGCTGATGAAAATTAAGTCTAATGTTTGGATTTGGAAATCACTGACTAATAAATAGTTTTTAAATGTCATTTTGATCTTCTATATATCGTACATAAGCAAAAACTTCTTTTATCATCTCATTTACCTTTTTTTCCGATATTTTTTGTGAAATTTAACATGAAAGATGTCATTTTAATACCAAATGATCATTTGAGTATAATTTCTCACTTCAAACAACCAAACGTTTATGAAATGCTGTCCACTCTTCTTCGATAAAGTCATCTATTCAACAAAATGACGATCATGAACTTTACGATATTCGGCTTGAAAAGGTCTCAGGCATCCTTAACAATATACCATTGATCTATATAATAAATGGTGTAATTCAATCAGGCAATGAACAGCTGTGGATTGTAGATTTGATACTTTTAAATAAATGAAAACTTTCGTTTAAATTTGAACGAATAGTTTCACAATATTTGAGCGCCGAGTTAATGTGAGACATTGAAGAGGAAGAATGTATTTGTAAAATCTCAACGAAAGAATTTAATGTAAATCCAACGTTTATTTTCCTTGAAAAAGCTTAGATCAGATTTCTAGGCGAAACTTCAAATTCTTTCGCTGAGATTTTACAAATACATTCTTCCTCTTTAATACTTTTAAATGTTTATTATACGAAAGTAAGGTTAAAACAAATAATATATTTTATTTTGAAGTCCAATGACCAAAACAGTGTTACAAACATTTGTGGGAAGATTGGTAATTAACCTCGAAAAAAAAAGCGATGTATTAAAATATTTAAATAACAGAAATTCAATTAAACAGTCAGTAAACTAGATAATGTAAAAACTGTCATTGGAACCCACAAATTGCATTTTATTTATAAAGTGTACGAAAATTAGTTTACGTAGAATATGATCATTTGATTAAAATTCATTCATTCCTTATGAATTGAATATATATAACACTTTACTATCTCACCACCACTAACATGGATACAAACAATGTATCTAGAATTATTATGACTACTTTGAATAAAATTTATTGACCACAAAAATTGTTATCTACTTATTTCTAAGATGAAGAAAAAAACCAGATAAATTTTCCCTATAATTTTATTCAATGTAAATGATCATATGAAAATATTTTTTTTGTTTGGAATTTTTTTCTTCTCTTCATAATTTGACTGAATCATTGAAAGGAGAAAAATACAAGTCACATGTTTATAATTTTTCAAGTTAATCCATAATGAACTTTTCATATTGTCATAAAGTAATTATTATATGAAATATCAGTTATATTTAAATATCAGATTGGTTATACAGTGGTTCATTCAAATCAAAATTAGAATTTGTATAAAATGGATGCATTGCACAGATGTTTAAATAAACGTTTTCAGTATTTACATAGATTTCAATAGTTCATATCATGAGTCAAATAAAGTTAGACCACCATAGAAAACCTGGAAGCACTGGTGAGCCGTTTAGTCCTAGTATGGGAATTCTCAGTAGAGCGCATCCACGATCTCACCTCATGAGATTCGAACTGGGAACCTGTCAGTTTCATGCGCGAATGATTAACCTCTAGACCACCATAATATTCACAAAAACCCCTCTCTAATTATAAAAATTCAGTCGTTTTATACAATGTCTATCAAGCTTTACATAGCATGAAACCAAATTTTAGATACTTGCATTAATGTACAAACTAATTACTTTTCACCATTTCAGTACTATCAACTGTCTGTAAAATAAAACTCAATGTATTTAGTCTGATCATCACAATAGGTTACCTACATTACCAGCATCACTGTTCTTAACTCTATATAATAAATAACTGTTGATACAACACACACAATAAATTCCATTAACTTAAAAATCAGTAATTATCAGAGCAATAGAAGTAGAAATTTATCAATAGTTCCAGCTTACTTGAAACATGCTGCAAATATAAATAATGTTGCTTGTTCATTCAATGAAGTGATAAAACTAAATGATGGTCTACTTAACATATAAAACACGAAAAATATAGGATTTTATATTTTTATACTTATTGACTTATAAAATCAATTATCTTCACCGACTTATGTAGCTGTTATGAAATCCTAAATAAAGTTTCACATCTGTGGCCAATATCAACGATGATATAGAAAAAATTATATTGATCATTCACATTAACAAAAAACTATGAAGAGACTTTCACCAGGGACTAATATCCACTCGAGAATAACATTTTAATAGTATTCAACAGTAAAAGTCAGTTACTATATCATAGGAGACTAGATATACACTTTCCAAGTCTCAATATATTCATTACATTTATTGTTGGGGACGTTAGATCCCCAGAACTCACTTCGCAAAGGACCTAATTTTGTAATTTTATTTAGAAAATTTGAATTTCTTTGGTTTTGCGACAAAGGCGCTCTTGTCACCTCCATGTCGTATTTTCCACTGGGAAATATCTTAAATGCTATTGGTCCTTTGCATCTTTTAGTATGCTATTTGGTAACTCTCCCCAAGGACAGTTTTGTACTGTATATATACGTTTTGAATTGTATTTGTTGTTTTCAGAATATACGTCCCCATTTCAAGCTTGGACTCCTCTCTCTAGTTAGCGGGTGTGGGACGCATCAATAGCTAGCTAACTGGTCTTTGGTCACCGAGTCTTGTTTTTCGTCCGCAGATTCAGTGAACTCGTGATAGCTTCAGTCCTAGCACTTATTACTCACTAAGTTAAAATGTTCATAATCTGATTTAACTTTATGAGCAGTGAATAAAATTTGTAGTTCAAAACACACAAAGTAACGTGACTAGAATGAATTCTATAAATTAACGTTTATTTTTATTTGTACATTCTATCTTATTGTTTTATAATAAATGTTTAAGTATACTTGATTTAAGTAGTTTCTTCAAATTTATTCAAATGATATTTTTTTTCTTTTATTAACTAACACCTTACGATAACATAACAATTGTCTTTTGTCACATATATAGTTAATATACGTGATAAAAAATAATGACTGTAATCGCTTATGAAATGTAAACAGAATCTAGTAAATACATTATGAGTATTAATATATTAACAGTAAGATTTAATAATAACTGTTATAAAGTTTTCTATAAATGTTAGACGTATTATAGAAGAGTATAGATCCAATTAGTAGTGCATACAAAACTATATATACAGCCTAGAAACTAGGAATAATTTTAATCAAAATAAAAAAACTTCAAGTATTCTCTATTATTATATGTTTGTTAACTTATAGAGTTTTTCTAATGTTATCTTATCAATTGTAGTTCATGAATAGATTGATGTTAGACTTCAATATTCGTTAGATACCGGCTCAGCGATTCAAGGGTTGAGCCTTAGCACACCAGATTGAACGTCTTGGATTCGATGCTCGGATTCTGGGTCGTGGTTGTTCATTGATTAGAAATATCATTCTAGCAAGAAATGGTCGCCCAGTGCTCATAACTTCTCAATTGTACTTTAATTAAGTTCATCCAATCAGTTAAACTATTGGTAACTTCTTAACCGGTTTTTATAGCTAATTATAGCAAAAGTTGATATGGTTCATTAAGTCACAACGTTTTGTTTTTAAATGTGATTGAGGCGAAAGAGATTGTTCCATCAAACACATGCAAACAGATGTACGCAAAAAGAAAGCTTTACTTGAATTTAGTATACTTCCTATTATCATACGAAGAGATTTACCTACAGTATCTGTTAGGTTACTCTACATATGGTCTTTAATACTGATTCTTACTTGCGTCGTAACTGTTCTATAAAAAGTGTACTAAATCAATATTTTATAGCTGCTCTGGTTTTAGAATTACGTTTTTAGTGACCATGTAGTTGTTTTTTCGAGAGCTTTAGGCCAAGCCTTTCGACTGTGATAATACTCGGCATTTTCTCTCGATTATCTTTATACTGAGTTTGATTTTTTATAAATCGCTAACATGGTTATCTT